TGGCAAGAGGTAGCAGCATTATCGACACGCTTTCTTGAATTACTGGTGAATAAATATTCTGGCACTTGCATTTTACAGCCTCTCCCGTATCAAAAGCCCAATTGAGGAATACCCTGTCATACAACAGCAGCCAAGTGATTACCAAAGATTTTGCTAACTTCAACAGGAAAATGGCAGTAGCTGACAGAAGCCTTTGTTGATGTATTTTTAACAAAGGTCAACTGCAAGCATTCAAAAGCTATTGTAACAGTCGATTACAAAACTCAGTGTCTTTATTGTGCAACCTTAATATTACCAGCCACAGACTTCCATTTGACCTGGTTTATACTTTTGTAAAGAAATTTCCTAACGTAGCCAAAGCAGTTGCTCTCCATTTATAATTTTGGTAAATTTAGCACACATGAAATGCGTATATTCAATTTAACAGCCCCTTCAGATCATAGAAGTGTGCCATTTGAAAGCTGTCTAGTAAGTTCAGAAGATTTCAAACCCTGCAAGTAAAAAGTCCCAGGACCACAGATGTCCATGGAATACAAGTCTACAACTGCCCAGGTACATGTTTTGGCTCCCAAATATTTTAGCATTAATATTTCAAAAGGTAACTTTGATGATAAAGATTGATGTCAATGTTAGCCAGGCAAAACTGGTACTTTAATTGAGGCAGAGGGGTGCACAAGTGTGAGAGAGCAGATGAGAGCACATAGAAAATGTGTTTTCCTGAAGTTAAATTATATCAACAGATGATATCACAAACCTGAAGACAATGTATAGTCTATCTTCTTGTAGAAAGATGAAGCATAAGTCTTTCCAGTTCTAGAATTCCTAGCAGCCCAATGCAAATGCTTCACTGAGAATTTTGCACTTTATTGCCCTTTTCCTTTCATGCTGACAACTTCAAAAAACCCATAAATGAAACAAACATTTTCATTTCCTGCACACTGAGAAGGCAGTAAACTGAGCCCCCGACTTTGTCTCACAGTACATTGGTGTAAGATGCCAGTAAAGAACAGAATTCAGAGTAATTTTGAGCCTCAGTAAGCAGCTATTGGCATACGTTGTTCACTGCTGTAGTGCCAAGACAACAGGAAAGCAAGAGGACAATAAAAAACTTAGGGTTTCTGAGATCAACAACAGCACATTAGGAACTAAGAGTTTACTAAGTAAATAAATTACATCCTTTAAAATGTTTCTGAATTAAGCATTTATTTTAACTTCAGCAAAACAAAGAAATTTATGGGTAGGCTGACAAGTTGCTGCAAGCCTATCCACAGCCTTTGTCACATTCATGCCATGTCTCAGTAGGAGCAACTAGTTATGTAGTCAAATGAGGAATATGCATGGCTTGAAGTCCAAAGCAGCATGGTTCTGATAGCAGGATATTTTTTCTGCGGCAAAGAAACACTTTATTCTCTCCATCAATTTAGCTGAACTATTTAAGGGCCTTTACTGCTTCTTGATTCATAAGGTCAGCTTCAGACACCTTCCGCCTGCTGGAAATATATCAGATAAAGTAAATTGTTGATGAGACAGCTGCAGCTAATCTACACAAAACATCAATTAGTTACAGGCAGACTAATGTCCTGAAAATGGTGTCAGTTTTGACTTTTTGGCCAGTTCTACAGAGAAAAATCAGTGTGAAATAGCTGCCAGGGTGCAGAATTCTTTAGCCCAGTCTATGTCATCATGTCAGGTACTTACATGTGTATCTAAACGCAGAGATGCCTTGTAAATGCCTAGCTATGTGTAGAAAGCAAAAATCACAGAACACTAGTTCAGAGAATCTGCACAAAAGAAAGCCCATACAAGTATCAGAACTCTCAGGAAATTTCACTGAGAAAAACTTCAAAGGCAACATACAAGCTAACAGAAAAATCACATTTCATCAGGTGAAGTACTGCACAGGATTCATATTTCAAATTCCTCAATTCTCGAACGCTCAGGCACAAAGCAGTTGGATGAAACCCTTTCAACATGCACATATTGCATTCATGTAATTATATTGCTAAAGTTATGTAGCTTATTGGGAGATTTTTTGGAAAGCTATTCCAATATAATACCCAATAGGGATGTAATTATATATCGGTATAGAAGTATATAAGAAGTATAGAAGAAGAAGAAGCTTTATACTAGCTTAATGCCCTTCTCTAAGGAAATGTTTTTTCTTTTTATCAGTACACACAACTTTACATTGATAGATCTGTATTGATTTGTAGATTGAAAGCAATACAAATTCATTAAAAAAACCCCAAGCTACTAGTTAAACAAAGCTAAAAACCCCAAAGAACTGAACTATTTAAGCTATTTCCCCTGAATACTGGTAAGGAAGAAATCATTATTTCTATTTTTAAACACTTAAAAGTGAAGGCCTATGAAAATACATACACAAGTCAAGAGTTTGCTGAAATCAGGAAAAAAATGAGCAATAAGAAAAAAAGAGGATCTACTGAAGGAAAAAAGAATCAGGAAGAGAGTGTATTCTGTCCGTGGAAAATATTTTGACAAATGTAGCTATTCTCAAAATATGAAATATTTTCTCAGTCATTCATCTGAGTTGCCACTGGAAACAGGGATCATCTTGGTCAATACAGACTGTAAATACTTTATGAGACATTAGTAAAATTGGTATGATCATATTTCCTAGTAATGAGTGTTCACAGGCCATTACAAAAATACAATTATTCTAATTAAATAGAGCAGTAATCAATACCCTGTTCTCTGGGTGAGTTTGCTTCAGTAAATACAGTGACGCATGTTTTTCAGATTAAAATGTTTAAAAGAAAAAATGTAATAGTTTAATAAGCTGGACTACAGTTTTCTTCACAGGCCATAAGCTGCTACATAAAGCATGAATCTTAACTCTCCCCATGCAATTAACTATCATTTCAGGTAAAGAGCTCCACCAGTTGTCCTTGGCACAGCTTCAAGACAGCTTAAGCTTTCCTTCTGTAAGTACCTGATGATGGAAGGAAGGATTCTGTAGGTCGTTCCCTTATACCTACTCCTGCAGCTGCTCACCTCAGCAGACATTACAATTTCAGCCTTTTCCCTTGTTCCAGACACTTCTATTTTTCTTTTATAGCTAACTTTGGAGGTAATAGTCATACTAGAAATTAATTCCACTTAATGCCCAGTATTTTCCTGAGATGTTTGCTTTCAAAATTAATTGTTGTCAGTAATTTCTCAGCTTTCATATCCAATATGTTAAGTTGGAAGGAAGATGTAAGCTGCAGATTCATTGCTTAGTCTTTTAAGTTGTGGATATTCAATGACACCATCTTGTTTAAGCTGGTGCCAGTGTGAGAAAAATGGCCTCACTTAAATAATTTAAATAGCATTCATTAAAAGGAAGAAATTGCTGAATCAAGGGCTGTGAGGTACCTTGTCAGCATTTTCAAAGATGAGGTGCGTTTTAGGAATAAAGAACAACTTCATAATATGTGTAGCTTTTCTCTTTAACTCTGTAGCTTAGCCCATGGCCCAAATGCACCTTTAGGATTGCCCTCATAGCTCCCATCTGACTGACACAACTATGTTTGAGGAAGGAGATTAAGATTTTGGGTTAGACAGGGCAGTGCTGATGTACTTTAAGGGCAAAAGCAGATGCCTTAACTTCACAGTACAGAGTGGAAAGTATTAGCCATAAATGTGAAAAGAATCAGCTAGCCACTAGTTAAAAATAATAATCCTGTCTATCCTGAATTGAGAAATGACTTACACATACAAGGCCAGTTAAATAAACTGCCTTTTAATCAAAAAAAAGAGAATCCCTTTGGCAAAGACAGCATAAAGGGAAAGCAAGTGCAACACTGCATGTAGCCAAAACATGCTGTTGTAGCTCTGGTGGGGCCGTTTTCCAATTCTTCTCAATCCCAGAATAACAGTAACAGTGGATGACCTTAAACTTGTGTTTCTGCTTGCATAGTCCCTACCTGACAGCTGCAGGGATCCTGTTTATTTTAATAGATACTTATTGATACTGGAAAATAACAGCATTTGCATCATTCAGGAGGTCACAGCCAAACGCCAGAAAGGAAACTGTCTGACATAACAAGATTGTCAGCACTCTCAGGCCTACTGTTTGTTACAAATTAAGGAATCCTTCTCTGCCTGGTTTAGCAACTGTTGCACCTGTGTCACTGGTCTAAACTTAAAGTAAGTCTACTTCAAATCATTTCATCCCACGTATTTCCAAAGTCTGCAGGTATTCCTAAAGGCTTAGTTTACCAGCTGTATCTTATAGACATGTGTGTGGTGACAGAGACAATTTCAACAGGGCTCCACAAGAATGCTGCAGTGCATCCAGGCAGAAAAATTTTCAGGATCAAACCCTCGCTCTGGATTTGTGTATCAGTATTTGTAAGGCTGACTTTCCAAAGAATTTGAATGAGTTCTCTCATGCAACATGACATGATGACATAATATGCTATTTTGGTGATCTATTTTTCGATCTATAGCAGGGCAATAAACATGGAAACTTCTTAAAATTTGGAAAAATATAACCAAAGAAAGCATCCATACAGTGTGATGCAGTGGGATAAGGTCCCACTGGTGCTACTTCCCTCATTCAGCCACGACACGCATTGGAAAGGAACAGACTTTCTGATATTTCCTGACCCTTTCAGAAATATGGAAACACTTTGACAACTGGTCTTTTTCCTGACTTTCTGAATTCCAACCAGAATAGCAAAATTATAGTCTTCATAACTTTTAAAAAATGTTTAAGCTTCCATTTCCTTCCCTCAACCACTATTTAGAAATAAATGGAACGTATATAGAAAGTAAAGGAGTGAAGTACAGAACAATAGCAGCAGACTTTCAGCCTTTTGATGTCTAAATTTCATAATAATAGGTATTAATATAGGATAAAACTGAGTAGTTATTTTGAAAATAATAATAATAATAAAACCAGAATATCTTTCCCCCCAAGATAGGGCCTGACTATTTAGACAGAAGGGGGAAAAAAACCCAAAACCAAACTTTAAGTATTTTCTTTACCTTACTTGATCAGTTCTGATCTTTGGTTTATGTGGATGAGAAATCAGCTCTTTCTAAAAAGAGAGGAAGACTTATTAATTATCACTAGTTCATTCTAAACTTACTGTTTATCCTGGAAGACAGCTTTATACAAACACTGAAACAAAAGACTAGCAATAGTAAAGAGTTCAGAGTTTTTTGATGTGCTAATATGGTACCTGAGTAGTCCAGAGTATAAAACTCAAATGAGCTATTGTGTCAGAAGGAAGGAGACTCATGTTTTATTTCAGGCCTAGCTTTCATGCATAGAATTTGGACAAAGCAGATATACTTGGTTCAGCATTTTAATAAACTTTGAGAAGAGGAAGTACTTAATATGAACCAACTTAAAAGCTTAAATGAGGAGGAAGGAAAAAGGAGACTTTTATGTCCAAAATAAATTCGTCATTTCTAAAGTATCCTTTGAAATCTTATTTTCCAAGTTACTTCTCAAATCACTACTCTTATCAGCTTTTAAATTTCGGTTCTACTCTCTACTATTGAGTAATGGAATTGTATTAATTAGGATATGTAGTTCTTCAGAAGGACAGATGTTTAACCTTCTATGGGGTAAAAACTCATCTATCTCTGCTTTGTATCTTATGAATTACAACTGAAGGAAAGAAGTGCCTTAATATAATACAGACTTCTTATTCTTGAATTTTCTTCTCCTGATAAACATCCGGCCAGGCCAAGCAAAACCATTATAAATCAGTAAATCTAGAGTTCACTACTGATAATAATAAAAATCTCTAAATGGAGTTCTTCCTTTTATTGCTCAAATTTAGTTTATGAGAGCTTTTTAGGGAGCAGAGCATGTGAAACCTGCAGCAGTTTAATAACTTTTTTATAAACTGAGTTTTAGTGTTTCAGTGGAAAAAACCCTAGAGACAACAATGAAAAAAAATGAAAGCAACTAACAATGGACAGGCTGTAAAGATTCCTTCGGCATATTAAACTGGAAATTTAGACACTTATACATAGTTGTATTAAAATTGGTGTCGTAGTTTAACCCCACGCAGCCGCTCACTCACACCCCACACCCCTCCCCCCTCCGGTGGGATGGGGGAGAGAATCGGGAGGGCACAAGTAGGAAAACTCCCGGGTTGAGATGAAAACAGTTTAATAATTGAAATAAAACAAAATAGAACAGTAATAGTAACAGTGAGAACAACAACAATAACAGAATATACAAAGCAGGCGATGCACAATGCTCACCGACCACGGACCGCGTGTCACGAACGGGGGTGAGCCCCCCGCCACCTGGTTTTATACTGAGCATGATGTCACTCGGTATAGAATACCCCATTGGCCAGCTGGGTCCACCACCGGCTGTGCTCTCCCCCCCCGCCCGGTGCAAGCATCACCCAGCAACAGCCAAAGCATCAATGGGCCATCAACGCTCCTTTCATACCAAACCCAAAAGACAGCACACCCCCCAAGCTACTGGGAAGAAAGTTAACTCTGTCCCAGCCGGAACCAGGACAATTGATTTAATTTAAATGACTGAGGTCCTTTCATTATGTATCTCTATAGAGAATACAGGGCCTTCAGCAAAGTGCTGCCACAGTCCTCACTGCCATTCTGACAGCACTATGGTCACTGCTTCTGCTGTATTTCCCTTCCCAGTCCTAAATTCTTCTAGTTTTCAAGATTCCACGCTTTCTCACATTTGCCCTGTTCCCTATCTGCCTCCACCAGTGAGGTCAGTTTCAGTTCCTGTCTGCTCCTCCCACAAGCATCTCCACATTTTCTGTGAAAATTTTGATGTCATCCTTTTGAGATAGTTTGCAAGAAGACACGCAATCCATTCTCGACGACTCTTCTATTCTGTTGCCTTGGAAAAAGTAATCAAGGCCAGCATGTTGTAGCTGACTAAATTATAGATATACCCATACAAAAATGAAATGTAGCATCAAGAAACAGACAGTTATACCTTCAAACACTTTAATGTATTTATAATATCACTGTCTTACTCCTTGCAGTTTTCAGATTGGAAATTGTCCAATAATTATATTTAGCTCGCTTAAACTTCATTTTGCTTCTATGCCTATTGCTTCCTTCTGTCTGGCCTGAGACTTTCAGAATCACACAGCCTACAGGATCCTCTTTGCTTAGGGAATTTGTTAAATAAAACCAACTTTTCTGCATGCTTACTTAGTTCAAACTGAAGTGCTTTTGCTATGCAAGACTGATACTGTGGTATAGTTTGCAACACCCCATGAACTCTCATACACTGGACTATGGTACTTTGAATGCTGTCCGTATTGTCAGCATGCACAAACCTTGAGATGCATCCATAATAAAAAGGAATCAGACTTACTGCAATCCTTTCTTCTCTCTGTTTCCTCAGGAAAGCTAGTATTTCTTCTCTTCTCCTGGCCTGAAAAGAAACGTATTTACCACAATAAGCTCAGAAAAATGAATTAAAAGCATGTAATACTTAATTTGATTGTAAACTTTAAATTCCTCATTGAAGCTGAGAACTAGAGTGAACATACAGCAGAAACAGGCATAACAGGTTACTGGATAAAGTACTTCAATTTCTCTTTCTTCCTGAGATCCTGAAAACACACCACTTGGGAGAGCAACCTTCTCTTCCTAGATTTACATGAGGTTTGAAATAATCATTCTTTCCTCAAATCAGAAGGAATCACTCCAAATGTCAAGATGAATATACATACTAAAGTTAGCAAATACTATTCTGTAGCATCTTGAGATTATAAAATCAGGGTAATTCAGGACTCACATATGCATAATGATTCATTACAAAAACCTTTTTATCTGAGAGGTGCAACCAGAAATAACTTTTGTCTTCAGTATGCATCTTTGGATTAAGCCAGTCTCTGCTACTCTGTAGAAGTGATTTAAAACTGTGATAATTTCAAAGGTGATGGAATTTAGTCCAGTTTTGAACTATGGAACATTTAATGACTCTCTTCAATCAATGGTCCAAGTTCTTCTCTCTACAAGAAGATAAGTATACATCCTAGAACTTGTTAAAGCTCCTCTCTCTATATAGTTGGAAGAAAAAATAATTTCCTAGGGAGAATAAGTTCCTACTAAGAATTTTTTAGTATTCTGATTCCCAGACAACGGAGCACATCTGTATATTTTTGCCTTATGGAAATGAACAGCTTTCAGCTACAGTGAGACATTACTGTTTAAGCTGCATAAAAACATACTAAATTGTTTTCATAAATTCCTAGCAATTTGTTACAAAACAGACATTCCAGGAAGTATTTTGGGAAAACCCTCAACCAATGCCAGAAAGGAGCACATCTCAGCATATGACTAATAAAGAAAAGAAAAGAAAAGAAAAAGAGTTTCTTATTTGTTCTTTTTAATCCAGAAGTGGTTAAGAAAAGATAATGTAAAATTGATGGGGAAAACCCCTGTTTTTTAGTGCAGCGGATTCTTTTGTCTGATGACAATTTCTTCCATGCAATTTGATTTTAGAAATTAAGCAATCTTCATCATTTAAAGTAGTTTCTTCAAAAACCCTTTCCAAGTTTTAATCAGATTTAAGCCTAATTAAAAAAATTGCCAACTTTTTTCCTCCCAACAGGTTAATTTAAATGACAGCATAAAAGACAAAGCCCAAGCTCTAGATGTTTGGGAGTCCTGATATTGAAAAGTAACACCCACCCAATATTCTAGAATTCGAATTCTTATCCTTTACTGTTATTCCCCTTTCACGAAAGGGAAGTAAAATACCTGAGCTGATAAAAGCAAAACTGACCCACATCTTAGATCACAATAGGAAGCTGTATTTTTATTCACTAATATGAATATTTTGAATATACAGTGAATATTTTTATTCACTGTAATGTAAACACAATACCCAAGTAAGGCAAGCAGTGCATGCCCAGGAGCGTGAACCAGGTTCAACCAAGAGACCAGATCATCAGGCAAGTTTGTGGTGATGAGACAGTACAAGTTCAGTCAGGAAGGCAGTCCACAGGCCAAGCTCAGTGATGGTACCTTAGAACTTACTAACTAAAGATAGCCAAATAAGACAAAGATAAAAAGAAAAAGTGGTCAGACTGGAAAAATGTCTAGCAATACAAAGATCTATTCAGACAAGCTAAACATTCCTATTTTAGATGCATTAAACGGATTACTCAGATTTGCAGTATTTATAATTTTGAAAATTCTTCGTTAATCATAAACTATCCTGTAAAGCCTGTGGGAATTAATGAATTATAGGCTAGTCCAGTGAAATAAACATCCAAAAGACAATAGCTTTTTTGCCATGTGCCTCACTACTATTTCATATGAAATTAGCTAACTAATTAAAATAAGCATTTCTAATAAATGAATTCACTGTCAGTTTGTGAAATAACAGTGTTAATGCAGCTAAGCTTTCTTTCTAAAAAACCCTGTACCCTGTACAACATTCACTTCCTAGATCTACACAACAGAGCTTGCAGGTTTTGCTCTCCCAGGGGACATGCTGCAGGAACAGAATGTCTGAATCAAGTCTGAAGTCTGGATTTGAACAGTAAATGACACCTGTGACTGACAATAATGTGAACATTATTCTTATTTCATTCAGTGCATTAATTTTAATTTTCTTAGACTTATGTGAGGCTTATAGCATGTCCTGTAGTTGTATAAAGTAATTTACTCATTGAAATTAATCAGCCATCTTTATGGCTGCCAGATGCCCAAAGCTGCAAAACCTTGCTATCATCAATTGTTACTGAATTTTAAAAAAATGAATGGAAGATTCAGGGAACTGTTGCTAGCTTCAGCCAGAATTCAGAAAGAAGGCTAATTGATGATAATGGATGAGATGTATTCTGGAATTATTAATTGGGAAAGGAGGATCGCTGACTTGCAGGAAAGACTTGCACACCTCAGCATCTTTCTGCACCTCTTGCAGATTGCTCTCATCTGGCCTGCTTTCCAAATATAGGCTAGAGGCTTTTCAGTAAAAATGTGGAACGTTTTACTAAAATGAGAAAAAAAACCCAGTATAATTACAGAGTCAGGCTGAAAATGTTATTACAATATTTAATACTAGTTGTCTTAGTTTCCATTACGTGTATGAATTATATTCATGGTATATATGTGGAACACTCATTCACCAGTTAGATTAATAGGGGCTTCAGTAGAAGTTTATATTAGTGTCTCAATAGCAAGCACAACTGTTGTCTGCATCTTCTTTTTCTTGGCAAAGTAGTAGGAGAAACCCCAAGCTCTATGTACTTGGTCCACTGTTTTGCAGGAGATGAGCCTCAGTGATCTGCATACCATGTCACTTATTTTGCTTCTTTTCATAGCCAATTTAATGATTGAGTCACTGCATAAACATAAGTATATATACCTTACAGCGTGCTAAATTTTATTGATCTTATCCACCAATTACAGACTACAGGAACTGTTAACTAAAGTGCTGAGTGGGTGGTTGCATGCCAGATTGATGTTAGCTTTTGTAAAACTCCACTAAGTCAGAAGGCTCTGCACAGTACAGAAGGATCCAACCTGAAAGGCACTACAATATCCCAGTTACGCCTTCCTTTGGAAAGACAGCATCATCTATAAACTCAGTTTTGATGTTGTTTGCTAAAATCTACGGTTTGTTCTGCAGCTAAGTAGTTTCTACAAAATTTGAAATGGCTTGGTCTAGCAGTTCTTGAATTATAGCTCTCTAAAAATGTCACCTAAACCTGTCCCTGAGTGACAGGCTAAGGCAGAAGCATTTCTACGGAAGCTGATTTAATAACCGCCCACTAAGAAGTTTCCCACATCTCTCATTCAATGAACTCTTGGCACTAGCTGCTGCTGGGCACAGGCTAATGGAGAAGATCTATTAATAACTAAGACAACTAAGAAATAAACTTATGCTTTGAGCTGTACTTCAATGTCTTTATGCCAGGATTTTGTGTGTGAAAGTGCATGCAGCACTAGTGTTTTTTTCCCCCCCAAAATTATCCACTTTTGAATATGGGCACTCTAGTTGGCTACTTGTAGATACTGAATCAGAACAGACGTTATGTGCTTACTATGAAGAAATTAAGTACAGCCTACTACTTTCAGCCCTGCACCAAGCCAGCATGACCCAATAATATAATTTGGGAATAAGTTTAAGCTAACCACCAAGAAACGGGCTGCATCATGCAAACCACACAGTGGGCCAGGTCCAGGCGATTTTCGTTACTGTTCATCATGTCATTTCCAAAGTTCCAGTATTCCCCCAAATTACACACGGTGAATGGAAATATTTATGAAAAAAGAGTTAGAATCAGTTCAGGATTAGGTGTTCTTACCTGCTGAAAATATTTTTCTTTTATTTTAGTTTTCTCCATGCTTTGAGCATCCGAGAGTCTCTCTTTCTCACTGTTTTTCTCACTTTCTAAATAAGGCAAATGAGAGGCAAATGATCAAGTGCTCCTACTACCGCCATCCTTCACAGAGGGCAACTGAACCATAGTGTACTTTGGGGCCATTCAGAAAGCTAGTGATCCCAGTGTCCGGATCCCAAGACAGTTAGGTATCAGTTGAAATATCTCAGCTGTGCACACTAGGGGCTGTGGCTCTTCTGTCATCCAGAGCTTATTGGCATGAGTCATTATTCATTCCTGAGAATTAATTCCTCCCAGGAACCGAGGCAACAAAGATTTAGCAAGCTGGGGGCATGCAGTACTTCATACTTACTTCTAGAAAGTTGTGGGCCCTGGAGAGCAGTACTTCTCTCTGGAAAGTAAAATCACATTAAGGGCACTGGGGAAGGTGGGGGGTGGTGGTGCAGGGAGGGCATGAGGTTCTGGAGAGGTGTGAGGTGTCTGGAGAGGATGCAGGGCTCAGGCAAAATGTGTGGGGCCCCTGGCAGAGCACAGGGCCTTGGGAGGAAGTGTGAGGCCCCTGGGAAGGTGTGGGGACCCCAGGAGACGTGTGAGGCTCTGGAAAGGGGCTCCAGGAGGAGCATGAGGCCCCAGGTAAGGTGCAGGACCCTGCAAAGAGGTGTGCAGGCCCCAGAGATGGTGTAAGGCTGCAGGCAGGGTCTCCTCACGGGGCAGGGTCCCCTCACAACACAGGGCACCCTCATGGGGCAGGATCCCCTCACAGGGTAGGGTCTCGCCATGGAGCAGGGTCCCTTCCTGGGCAGGGTCCCCTCATGTCGCAGGGTGGCAGTGCCTAGACAGGACTCGAGTGGTGGTGGGAGCACGGCTGAGGTTCAGAAGGGGCGGGCAAAGCTCACATTGGCTGGGCTTGAGCCAGCAAAGACAAAGGGCCCATCAGGCGTCATCGGGTGCTGTCCTGGCTCTGTCCCTGTGGCGCCGCATGGGGCTGCATCTTGGTGTCCCTCTCCATGAGGTGGGTCTGCCCAGCTCAGCCTCTCTGCTCCTGCCCTGTGGCCATGAGGAAGCCCTGGTGCTGCCCATGCCACTGACACGTCCCTGCCACTGCCACCTGCTGCAGTAGGTACCTGTGACCTCACTGCTGGGGCCCTTTTCCCTGCCATCACTGGCATCTGGTGCCAGGAAGGAGGACTGTAGTGAAGGTGTGAAGCCATCTCAGAGGGGACACAGCAGCACAGACATGCCTGGGGAGTCTGGACCCAGCTGGACGGTAAGGGACACACTGCCTGTCACAGTAAACATGGAAGACCAGAAGGCTGACCACATTGTACATCTCATTTCCAGTGTCTTCAGGCCATTTTCACTCAAGTCTAGCCTCGGGCCTCTCTATGAACAGAAATAGCTGCCACCACAGGACTCAACTTTATTTATTCAACAAAAGTAAATGGAGGTAAATGTGAAAACTGTGGCCTTGGACAAGTGTAAGGCTGAGACTAGCACAATCAGAACAGCAGCTGATGCCTGCAAATTTAGGGAAGAAAAAAACCTTTCATTTTCTTCTCATGTTTTCAGTGTCCTGTATGCAAAACAGTTGTGTATAAAGTGTATCACTCAGTAAGGTGCAGTTAGATTAGCTTGACAAATGTACTGATGTCTCTTGCATGTGTGACAGGCAATCCAGTACATTTCACTTGTTTTATTTCAGTCTTGCCTGTCTATTAGATGCTTCTGCGAAGAGGTTAGTCTATCTGCCTCCTGTTGTCAAAATTCCCATGCGTCTGATTTCCATTGAGATACCTTCCAAACCTTTTTACCTGGCTGTGTGGCTAGTGATTGTTTCTTTTGGCAATCAGCTAACTACACTGCCTAGTAACTAGGCTGATGTAAGAGACAGTTCCCTTTCAACTCCTACTTTGATGAAGGCTGGGATTTTGTTAAAAAGAACCTCTTAGAGCAGATTCTAGCACTAGTAAGTATTTTCTCCATTATAAAAATTCTTGAACATTAAGGAAAGTGGTCAGAGTAAAAAACATTTATAGCATACTGTGAGTTTAATATTTAATCATTGTTCAAAACTGCCTTCACTTACTAGCTTGTTAAATAAGACATGAAAGCTAAATGAAAATTATTTTCCCAATAGCTGACACGTAAACTGAAGGGTACAACCAAAAAAATTCTTAGTCCAATCTTGGTGCATAAACAATTAAGTATACGATAAGTCTTCATGTGGCTAAACAATTTAAACACACCAGACAGCATTCTTGCTCCAGGAAAGTTCCTAAGGATTTTAGCACCAACTTCAAGAAATCTAAGATTTCACTTGATATTGCCAACATATACCATACGCTTCTGTTGGACAGCAAAAATTCTGGAAATAAAGCTGTAAATGAATAAACATTATTAATAATTTTGCACTAGGAATAAGGATGTCGTAAGGAAGTTTTGTAGTGCAGTTTTCTGTACTGAGGTTGTAGCAGGGAATTCTGTGCCTTGTTTTGATGGCAGTGAAGTTAGTGATTGCGAAGTAATGGATACAATCAGCTAACTACACTGCCTACAAACCAAGCACTACTCTTGTGATGGGGTCATGGCATTGAAACCTAGGAAAAAGAAAGCACTTCCAATAATGATATTAACATACTCTATCTCCTCAAATGCTCTTATAACAACAAGCAATTGACAATAATGGAAAACATTGGTCATATCACCCTTAGTGTTATTCTACTAAATCCAAAGTCTTTGTATCACAAATTAATTGTTCTTAATAATTAAAAACTGCAATGGATGCATCACAAAGATCATTTCAGGAGTGCAAAGACAAAGCAATGCAATACTCAAATATAAATTATTATAATGCACCACAATGGAAATGGGAAATGAGAAAAGCTTTGGCATGCAGTCCTTGCTGCATGAATGTGGACTAAATGGTAGCTATATTCAGAGCTGGAAGTGCAAATATAACTGCAAATTTGAGCCAAGACAAAATGTTCAACACGAATAACATTCTACCTGGTTTACAGCATATCAGCTGTTAGTGCTTATGTCACAGTGATCCTACTTATCCTTGTTCTCTAGTTGGGGCATTTGAGTTAACGTCCTACAGCATGGGTTTCGTGCAATTTCCATTTAAAAGCTTTCAGAAGAAACTGCATGTCACTACAGCAGCAGTAAGAATGGTAGCATTTCACTAGTTCCCTGAACTTCAGAAAGCTTTTTTTTCCAGAGAAATATAGGAACACAGATTGTGCTGGTAGTCAGATGTCAGGCTGCTCAAACCTTTTACACTAATTTGTGGTAGCTAAAGAAATTAGCAAATCTGTTCTGCCGGACAAAATTGAATATGTGTAAGTAGTTATAATCGATTATGCCTTGTGCCTAATACATATGTACGCAATTAATAATGTGAGAAAACTATTTTATATAGATTTATCAGGCTATTTTTAAATCAGGAATGAGAGAGAGTCTTTGAAGTTACAAGGATAAGTTTGTCTGCAAATTAAACAATTTTGCTAGCTTTCACCCATAAATGCCTTATTGTTAAAATGCATAAAAAGAATTCAGAACTTACCGTCGAAAAGCTTACCTTGTAATAATCCTGATAAGGACTGCATTTATAATAAAATACTTAAAAAGATTTAATGGAAAGGGAAAAACAGCTAGCTTCTTCACTCTTCTTTCCTTCCCTTTTCCATGGCTATCACAGCAACCTACTCATTGAGTACCCAGCAGTCTTTCACTGGCAGACATGTCTCTGGGGATGGTTCCTTAGGTGGCCCCTGGGTGCCCCATGTCTTCCCCTGGGACTCCTGGGTTGGAGTGTCCCCAGTCTGGGCTGTGGGTCAGCCCCATGCCTGTAACCTTTGTGTACACCCTGTTGTCATGGCCACTCAGCTGGGGCTTGTGCATGGAGACTGGACCATTGCTTTGAAACGTGTAGATGGCTCTTGCCGTAGGAAGCTTTGTTGCAAAAGAGGTTTCTATGGGCAAAGTCAATATGGAGCACACACAGAATTTCCGCCCTGCTCCTGTGGACAAATGGCTACAGGTTGTGTCACAGATGCCAAAGGTGATCCAGGCTTTAGTGTCACATGTGGCAGTACAGGCACACGCCTCTAGGCTGATATCTGGATACTGGGGCTTCAGCCCGGTTTTATTCGTCTCAGGAGTCTAGCTGCCATAGAAGGAGGCCCCAAAAAAGACAGACTAACAGCTCAAAAGAATGGATGTCTTGTGATCCTGGCACTGGGCTGCAGTGAGAATTGCATACCTCTATAAGGCCCATGTAAATTATGTCCAGCTGGATGGCTCAAATCTCTTGTCATTTCTGAAAATCATGGAATGCAAATAGGGAGGAAGAAAGAACTGACAAAAGTAATCAACACTTGATTACATTAGCAGAAAAATTTACAAGGCTACAGCAATAGTTCTTAGACTGCATAAAATAAGCCCAGGTAGCTTTGAAGTCTTTCCTTTGCTGTTTAACTTTAGAACATGCCAGACCAGCACCAGTCTTCTTTTTTAAGTTTATTTTATTGCTTAAGTCACTGAAGACTGATGATCTTAAATTAAATTCTAGCAATATGTGGTGCTCAAACACTTAAGGTCCTCCTCAAGCAAATTTAAGCTTTTGCCCATTCCTATATCATAATATGAATTGAATTAAAAGTATTAGAAGGTGCTAAACATTGCTACATAACACCATGAACTGCAAAGTTTTTCTTTTCTGCAAAGGAAGATGACAGTTCACAGAATAAGGGTAAAAGCAGGTCCTGAAGTCAACTGTTACAGACGGAGTTGCGAGACAGAACATCTTCTACAGTTGTGGAATATACCTCCTTAGCAGTTACATCTTATCTCCTGCATCTGCCCTGTATGACAGGGCATACCATCGTGGTTTGCCTGCTTACCTGCACAATATGGGTGTTCTCACAGACCTTGTTTCAAGGACCTTATACACCAGTGAGTGTTTTCCTTGGGCACGAGGCGCCTCCTGATCAGTGTAATTAGCATGGTCATACTGTCATGTGTGCTTTGCATAATAAAATACAGTACTCATGGAAAAATCTTTAACCAGAAATATTATCTGTAAGTACCTATCACTTAGGTTTTTACAGAACACCCACTGAGTAACTAAGTAATCAAGTAAAGACGAAAACCTTAATCGGAACATAGTTAATTTCTGAAATACCTATTCTTAAGCCCTTTCATCAGGCCCAGAAAGTTGTCTACTTATATAAGTTGAAAGAGAAAAATTTGTGAGCAATCAACATATTAAAATTTTAGTTTGTGGCTTTGATTGGAATCAGTTTCTGTCTTGTTTCATTCAAAAATAATTCTTTGCACAGAGACTGCATGATTTAAATAAAGGTGTAAGTTTTTAACATCCAGATACAAGGTTTCTTCTGCCCTCCTACATAATGACATAGTCAAATGAATTGGTGCTGTGTTCATGCAGAACTATTATTGTTTGTACATTGCTGTTACATGATACTTCTGAATGTGATCAGGGCAGTATATAGCCTGACAAAGCAAATGCAAAGTGCTTTTCTCTAAGAAGATTGTCACCTAGGATATTTTCCCATATGGAAATAACTCAGGCTTATTGATTTTTATATCAATAGTTATGAACTTCAGCTGCTTACCTGGAGAAATTGTCTGTCATCCATCATCCACAAAAATCAAATGGCTTGTAGAAGAGAGATTGCTACTAGCAAGCTGCACTTTGTTTCGTTAGTTCCATGTACTCAGTCCTTTAAAGCAAGAAAACGGTAAAAAATTCTGCAGGGGTGACTCTTGCCAGTAGTGTGTTTAGGGAAACAGTGTTTGCTCTTGGTTTGGCCTGCAGTTACTAGAGAAACTCTTTCCCTTTGTAGTTCATGCCTAGGCTTGCCTGGTGACCCAGGAGACCCATAATTTAAGCTGGCTAAGAATGCTTGTGCTGAGTTAG